AAAAAAAAAAAAAAAAAGACCACATTTGCTGGTCTGGTAAAGCCTGGTGGAACCCCTAAAACTATGGCCCCTAGCTGCCCTTCAGGTCTGGAATTGAACCCACTCCTGTGGCTTCTAGCCAAACAAAAGACAGGCATATGAAGTGAATGTTTACATTAGGTAGACACACTCCTTGGAGAGAACAATCATGGGAGAATAGAAGGGCTGTATATGTACAAGGAGACAGCTCAGGGGGCAGGAGTGCATGGAGGGAAGGACACAGGGAAGAGGTAACTGTGGGAAGGAAGTGGGATGGGAGCTACTGCATTGTGGGAAATTGTAGTGAATGTCATGAGACAAAGTGTGTGTGAGCTAGTGTATGGAGAGTGAATTTGCTCTCTAAATTTTCACCCAAATCACAATTTAAATAAATAAATAAAAACATTCAGCAGGGTCTATATGCAGGTGCCACTCAATCATTCCTAGTTCCCTTTCTCTCCTACATCACCAATTATCTGAACCACGCTGCAGGCACATCATTGGTGTCCCTTGTTTTTTCCACTCTTGATTTCTTTCTTCCATTTCTTCCCTTTGCCCACAACAGATCTAGCTCTGGGCTCACTGCTCCCCACCCCAGGAGGTCGCCTTCAATGCCTTTGCACTTGCATAGACAGGTACAGTGCCAACTCCACCTTGTGCTAGCTGCAGAACCTGCTGTATGGTAAAGGGCCTGATACGCAGTCACTGCACCCATACCTCCCTCCCACCCCTAGGCTGCAGTCCACACTCAGCCCACCTCCTCAGCCATCTCAAGCAGGGCCTTGTTGCTGCTCTCCCACCGGGACCGGTACATGGTGGTTTCTTTCTCCAGCTTCTTGATCTTCTTAGTCATCTGGGTTATGTGACAGATGGAAGGAAACGGTCACGGGGCCAGCCTGCCCATATGACTACATCTCTAAGGTGGGGAATAGTCCCAGGGGGGTAAGGCATCACAGGGCGCAGAACCCTTCCAACAGCCCCACCCTTGGTGTCAATTACACTGTTACTGGCAGCAGCTCCTCAAGGCACTTCAGGGGTGGGGCTTCCTGAAGATATACCCAGTGTTCAACTCTGAATGAAGTAGCCTGTTCCCCAAAAGCCACAACTGGTCTGGACCATGTTACCTTTTCCATCTCCTGTTTGAATGTGGTGAACACCTCGCTGCTTTTGGAAAGAGTGTTCTGGAACTCTTCAAACTTCTCAGTGTACAAGGCGAGCTGGGTGAGACAGAGGCCCATAGATAAGACTGGGCTTCTCTGGAGCAGTTCTGGTCAGAACATTCAGACCCAGCCTTGGCCCTTTGGCCTAACAATGCTACTGAGATACCATTTTTCTTTAAAAAAGAACAAAACTATGTATTTGGAAGAATGTAATCCAAAACGCTAACTCTATAACGAATTTGGGTTGCTATAGACGTTACTTTTATATTACCTTTCAAATTTTTCTTCAGGAGTCAAGTATATTTTTATAATTAAAAATAACTGTGCTAAGAGTGAAGCCCTCCAAGCTCACCTAGCCACCTGGTCACCACACAGGTGCTGGGCAGGTCCATAGAAGCAAAGACTCAACCAAGGTCACATAGCAGTTGGGGCAGAGCAGGACCTAGAGTAAAGGTCCTATTTCCCTCCCCCATAACGCAGGACAGTGAAGGGACTTTGGAGGTAGGTCAGTTCTCATGGTCTCACCTGCTGCTTCAGGTGGGTCTCCTGCTGCTTCATCAGCTCACACATCCTCTGCGACTCCACTGCCTCTTTGAGAAGCTATTTCCAAGACAGGTGCCCAAATCCCATCAGACACCCCCAGGGGTTCAGCCTTTTTTAGCCACAGGCACAAGAACCCACTGAGGCTTCCTGCTCTCAGACTGGTTTCTGAGGAAGCAGAGCCCCTTGTCTGGATGGGCAGCAACCTCTCCCATACAGATTCAAATATTGCAAGCAGAGCTAGAACCCAACCGCCTCCTCTCACCCTATTCCCAAGCTGCCCAGGACCCAAGCCTCACAAAGTCTTTCTCTCGCTGGTGTCTCTCCTCGGCCTCCTTCAGCATCTCCTGGGCTTGCTGGAGCTTGGCGTCCACCAGCTGCTGTTGCAGATCCTTGTGTTTGAAGACTTTGTCGATATGCTGCAGGAAAGCATGGTGTGAGCAGGCCACCTGTCAGGAGCTCCCCATCTCAGGGAGGCCCAGTGGCTGCAAGGATATCTCACGTGCAGAGAGCCCACATGCCCAGCCTCTCATCTTCACCTAGCCTGATGGACCTGTGTGTAGCCTAGCATGAGGACCTCCCGTTTCCCTGGAAGGTCTGCTCCCCAACTTCACCTTCTCGCTTTCTCCTGCTGAGTCACACCTGGGTAAGCACAGGGTTTAGGGAATATATCAGCTCCAGGGCAGCCAAGTAATAAATACACTCAAACCTCCAGCCCCAGCACAGATCACCCCCTCAGGCTGGCAGCTCTCACTTTTGCAGCTCTGACTCTATTGTAAATACTCACTGCCATCAAGTCGATTGCAACTCATAGCGACCCCTCCTTGGGTTTCCGAGGAAGTTATCTCTATGGAAGTAGATTGCCCAGTCTTCCTTCCAAGGAGTGGCTAGTGGGTTTGAACCGCCAGCCTTCTGGTTAGCAGTCAAATGCCATAGGCACTATGCCACCAGAGCTTCCCTCTAGGAAATAGAAGGGGCAAAAACTATGTCCCTACCAGTAAAACAGCTTAGCTCAGCTGGCAGAGATCTGCCTTATCTGTAGGCAAGTATTAGTCATGTGTATCTCAAGCAATAGGAGCATCAGTTTGGGATGTGATGAATTCTAGTTCACTATGATCTGAGGTTCAAAGTTCTGACTGGAGAGGGGATATAAATGGAAAGCAGCAGAATCCCTCCCCTTCAGAGGCCATACTAAGTCCTTTTCCATGTGGAGATGTGTGTAGGGGATTCAGCTTTTTGACCTCTGTGGTGGGTCAGGAAGCCTTCATGTCTTTCAGCACTGAGGGACAAGAACCAAGCCAACTCTTCTCAAACCAAATATACTACAAGCAGCCTTGTTCCCAGAGACTTAAGTAATAAAGGGAAGGGTTGGACTGCCTCCACATCACCAGACTGGACTGTGAGCCTAACAGGGCAGGGTGTTGCCTCTCTCATGGTACTACCACACCTTCAGGGCTTAGAAAGGGGCTTGGCTCACAGCCTGCTTTATCTTCTGAGACACAAGGGAACACAGAGCCCACTCCCCTGACTAGCCCTGGAAGGCAGCTGTGATTCTTCCTCCCCACAAGGAGCAAACAAATGCTGGGAGCAGCCAAGTGACTAGCAGGTGGGTGCCCATGCAGTGGAGGGATTCGAGTGCCTGAGTAGGAGCTGACACCTGGCCTTTCACGTGCTGGAGACAGCAGAGCAGCAAGGAGTCCAAGAACAGAGCCGCAGAGACAATCACTAACTATAGGTCCAGTCCCTCCTGTTATTCCAAACTCTCAAAAGCTCCAAAAATGGAACTTGTCACAGCTGGCAGCCAAAACTGACCTGTATCACTGTGAGGCTATTTATAATCTGTATCTATCTCAATAGAGTGAGCATTCGGACGTTTCACTGAATGGATATTAACGTGTCCGATTTGCCCTTTAGTAGGGCCATCCCGAGGCCCTACTAAAGGTACTATGTGGTATAGAGTACATGTACATTACCTCCATTTTAAAATCTGGGTAATTCCAAATTTCTAATGATAGCTGGCCCTATGGTTTGGGACAAGGCATTGTAGATCTGTGACAGTGTAGCCATGGGTACGGTTCTTCTCATGTCCTTTCCTCATCTGTGTGAGGACTAACGTTACACTCCTCCCAGGAAGGAGGTGTAAGGGCTCAAGTCTCAGAGTGCTGTGCTGGCACCTGGCTGGCCCTGGGCCTTCACAATACCCTGGCCAAAGTTGCTGTCCACGGTGACCTTACCTCCTCACGAAGCTCATACTGCTCAATAAGTTTCTTTAGCCTCTCGGCCAATTCCATGTTCTCCTGGCGCAGCTTGGAGTTACGTTCATTGTGCTGTTCCATCTGAAGCTGAATATCATTCAGCGTCACCTGGAAGTGTGAGGTCACTTCCTTGCGCTTCTCCTCCTCCTCCCGGGCCCGCTGAACACCTTCTTCCTGGGTAGAGAAGTCAGCCCCAGCTCCATCATCCACTCTCCTAGCCAGTCTCCCTCTAGGGAGAGTTTGCACCAATAGCCCTCCTTGCTCCCACACTGAGGAGCAGCCAGGTTCCAGGGATGTTGTGCAAGGGGGCTCCTAATGGACCCCTCTGCATCTCAGGTAAAATTGAGAGATGCTCTCCCTGGAAAACTGCAGGCACAGATTTAAGTGCCATTCTGAAGCAATTTAAACCTCTTGAAGCTGCCTCTTCTACAGATTTCAGATTAAACATCCCTGTTTAGATGTGCTCCCCCCATCACAAGTAGACCAAGTTGTAAAAGTTCATTAATATCCAGGGCTGGCAAGGTTGTGCAGAATTAGGCCCTCAGTCATAGCTGGTGGGAGTAGGATACACTGCTCCTCACTGAAAAGTAATCTGGCAGAATCTTACCATTATTTTAAAAGAACGTGATAACCCCATATAAAGTGATTGCGGTGTAGTAAATTACTTAGTGTGGCTTTTCTACCCATAAGTCTTTGTAAACACTAAGGTGGGAATTGCTATTAGCAACTGAGGAGATCCTGATTTTAAAGT